TCCCTAAGCACAGCGTGGGGTGAGAACGACGAGTACCCGAGCGTGGTCGGGAATGCTTGTTCGTAGTGGTCGGGAGTCATCTAGACCCCTCCCCGAGCACGAAATGAGTGTCAGAATTATATTCCTCCATCAGTTGGCGACGCTTGCGCGAAGAAGACGAACTCCGACCAGTCCCCAGCTCAGCTGGTCAGAGAGCTCCGAGCAGCCTAGCAACAGGTCAGCAGTGAAGCGAGCGTCAATCTTGTTCCTGAAAAATAAACATGGAGAACGGTAGTACATGATGATGTACGAAATAAAATATATGCTTTGGAGATAAAATAGTTTAAGCAGCTCAACTGCCAGACATGAACACTCAGTGTTCTTTTGTAGATGTATTATACTTAGTGTAATGTTGAACTTAGCGAAAAACTCAGTTTTTGGCTTAATCTGTTGCGTAGAGGTGTAGCGCGACGAGTTAACCCATCCTGGAGAATGCGCCAGCCCCGGTCTGGTCAAACGACTCGTAGCGTGGGGCCCGGAGCTCTGCCGGTGGTGCCACGCGCACGCGTAGAGTGCCGACCTCGCCGAGGGGCTACTGGCGACTACCCATAGCATAGAGGGCGGACTCTCGTGCATGCGTGGGGTGGAGCCGGGGACAGCGCCGACTCTGGGATTCTCAAGCAGGAAGGAAAATTGATCGGCCAGCCGTTATAAACCTCGACGCGGAGCGCACCGTCACGGTGGTCGGCGGAGAATCATGGAGATAAAATTGAAGATGTATGGCGATAGAAGGAATATTTAATGGATGTGAAAAATAATACTTAGCTTGTTGTTGGAGACGTGTCGTGGTCGTGGCCGAGTAGATGGACGTGGTTCGGATGGCTTGCTTATGACTCGACACGGCTCGCTTGGCTCGATGTAGCTTGCTCAGCGGCTCGACGCGGCTGACCAGACGGCTCGACGCGGCTCGCCGACAGCTCGGCATGGCTCGCTTGATGCCTCGACGCGGCTGACCAGACGGCTCGGCGCGGCTCGCCGACAGCTCGGCGTGACTCGCTTGACGGCTCGAACGGCTCGCTGAACGGCTCGCATGCCTATCGGAATCGGAGTTGGCGCTAGAGGTCGGAGACAAAGGCGATGTCGGCGGTGTCCTAGCCACGTAGATAGTTGGAGAACTTTGTTGATCTTGGGCGTGCTTGACTCATGCATGTCCGAGAATAAAAGGAAAAAGATATTCCGATTAGATTCAATCTGAGTAACTAATAATGCATGATGATAGCACCGCATGGGTAAATAAAAAATAAAATAGAATCTTCCTGTATATGCGCTCCTGCTCATGAATCCGATGTATGTATGCGCTCCTGCGAGTCGTGGTCGAACTCAACAAGAAGAGGTCGGACGGGTACACGGCGAGTCGTTGTCGCAACGAAGCTGTGTCGTCGCGGAAGACGTTGATGAAGAGAATTCCCATCAGGTTCGCCGAAAGATCAGCACGCACAATCCCAAAAGGGGGCCCCTAAAGGTTGGCAGTCCACCGAAGCAGGAGCGAGCGACGAAGTCCTCATGCGTAGCTCGAAATTCCTTTGGATAGAAATCTGGTCGATGGTGATAAAGTTGTCTGATCCTCGTACTTTTCAGCCTGTTGTGATGGTGGTCGCGGTTGTCATAGCGCCGCTCTTCGTGGCGATCATCATTGCGACGTGGTCTGGTGGTCGAGGTGGTCAAAGCTCGGCGGAACCGCTCGAGACGTGGTCAACGTGGTCCGTGGTCGATGTGGTCGGAGCTCGGCGGAGCCGCTCGAGACGTGGTCGACGTGGTCGGAGCTCGATCAGTTCGGTGGTCGGAGTAAGTAGTCCGGACGACGCCGTCCTTATGTTAGTGATCGGCCTTAGGAGATTCGGTGAGATCATTGAGGTCGGAGCAACGATGCTGTACGGTGGAGCAGATGGGGCGTGGCCGAAGCGTGCTTGATGCCATATGTGCGTGTGCACATGCAAGTGCCGCAGCGATCTGTAGTTGGCCTGCACGTACATGTACACATATTTCTTCCTTATTTGCTTGCATGCATGCAGATTTGCTTCCATGGAGATCTCTGTTGTGTTTGATTGAATTGAGTAGAACTCCCCATGCGGATCTTGCTCGGAGTGCAAACGCCACGTAGTTGCGTCGCCGAGTCCTCGGCGGGTCGGTGAAGTCGGAGAAGACGCCGATGATGAGGTTGCATGTATGCGGCTGTAGGCCGTACATCTTGATTGGATCTTGGCGACTGGATGATGATCTAGCTTGCCAAAACTGTTCGTGAGAACGTCGAGCGTAGATGCATGTATACACGGAAGTATCTGCGGCTTGCATGATGATCTAGCTTGCTTGTTTGTCATTGGCTTGCATGTAGATCGGTTCTTCCAATAGATTGCTTGCTTGCGTCATCAAGCATGCATGATGCTGTAGATGGCATGGCATGTCTCAGACGCAGCCTTCTTGTCGTGATACTGCATGTGTTCGCACACCACCGCCATTGCCGGGTCCTTCTCCATATAATCCGGTGTAGCGCTGAGCATGTCAATCGGCGCCGAGTAGCGATCCGTCGATGCGATTGCGGAGGTACTAATGTCATTTGGCGGCGTACTTACCGCCGAGTTATTGATGCTGCGGCATGAAGAAATTGCGAGTAGATTGATCTTGACTCGATCGTAGGTGGAGATCTCAAGCATGGTCCGGCATGCAAGCGTGGTGGAGCTTATGAGCGGCGTCTCGGATCGGATCAAGCGGCGAGCTTGCCGTGTTGTTGCACCTCGCCGCCCGGCAGCCAGCCCCGTACTAGTTGGACGCACGGACCGTCGCCGAGAAGATGCTGTTGATATTAAGGTACGCCATCTGGTTCATCATGGATTAGCACGCACGACCCCTAAAGGGGACCCCTACCTGGCGCGCCACTGTCGACGAAATATGGTCGGCAGTCCATCGAGGGGGTGCCCGTGGTGGTAGATTATCGATAGGATGCGTGTAATCATGGAACCAGATAATTATAGAGACACAAGACACAAGATTTATATAGGTTTATGCCGTCAATGTGGCGTAAAACCCTACGTCGCTGTGCTCTGTTATTTGTATTGATCTAGGTTGAGATCTGTATGATCTGTCTCATCTTGTCCGTTAGGGGACCCTTGCCCCTCCTTATATATTTCAAAGGGACAAGGTTACAAGTAAAGTATCCAATTTGGTACAATTACAATATAATGTCGTGCTCCGCACGTCTTCACCTTGCGGGCTAAGCCACTTCCGATGATGCGGCCCATGTATAACCATGAGGGTATAGGGGTCTATTCCCCCCACGGTAATATATAAGTTAAAATATCTTGTTAGTTTCGTCTCCCTCTCTCCCATTGTATAATTATGCAAAGGACGTGTTCTAGTAGTGTTTTTTCAGCTAATTAATTACAGTAAAATGTTATTTTAATTTATTCTCTCTTTATTCAAATTACGTGAAATGTCATCGTAGCTTGTTATTTGGCAAATAATGCATTATAATTGGAAGCAAAAGATTCAGCAAATTTTTAGTTTTATTTTTTATTTATATTTAATGCTTCATGCATGCGTCAAAGATTTGATGTGACGGGAAATCTTGAAAAATTTTGCAAATTTTTTTGCAACTAAACTGGACCTAAGCAAATTTGATTCAGCAAATTTTTGGATCCGAGCCCAAAGTAACTGGAACTTGGCAGCCTGGGCCCGGGCAGCGGCATGCGGCCCTGCGGGGGATCATCTCGCCAGAGTCATCTCCGACTTGCCTCCCGCCGGCCGGACGCTCGAACCCCATGCCGTCCGCCGGCCTGCGCAGTTTACGCCTCCCACGGGGCACGGGCGCTCTCTCGGTGCGTCCGATGCGCCGTTCTCTCTCTCGTGCCTGCTCACCTGTCGCCTGGAACTTGCAGCAATGAGTCAGTGACTGCATCCGCCGCCACTCGCGCCAGCATCCGCCGCTGTCTTATCAATCACCCCGCTCGAGTAGTCGAGTTGTCTCTCTCCAATCCCAGGTTTGCCTCTCATATCCATATCCCCCACTATTTCCAATATGCGCTTCCAATCCTTCCAGACTGCTGGTAAATTTGGCGTCCAACAGGTGGCGCATTGTTTGTTGCGCTGCCATAGAAACCAGGGATAATTTCGTTGCAAAGAGGTATTTGGACAGTTACGGTAGCGCTACACACTTAATCCACCCCTTTTGCGAGTCTATATGGCTTCACACATTGGAGCTAGGATGGATCTCCACCGGATGTATCCTGTTCGTCTGAAATATGTTCCATGTTCCATGTATCGATAGTTAGAGACAGTGGGAAACCATTGTCTGTCAAACTCAAGGAAGTTTTCTTTGAGCATGTTCTTTACCAATGTCTAAGAGATCTTGGAAGCAGTGGTTTGTTGTGTCCACCGCTGTATTCAGAAAAGGGTTTTGGGTATTTCTCTCATTGTTCCATGCCTGCAACCTATTAGCTCTTGATCTGAAGTCCAGAATAACTTGACCAAATCTTCGTCTCTCTCTGAATGATCCCATGACTCTACATACATCTTGAAACTACTCGATATGCAATACTTTAAAGCATTAGCATAGTAACACCGGAACCATTGTGAGTAGTGCAAGAGAGTGCAAGAGTGATTTTGTCATTTATGGACACCACCCTTATAATGATGATGACAGGCTATGACTATTCAGCCCTGTTGGAAATAGAAAATCTTCAGTTAACAGATACATGTCCAAGTTACAGATGTAGTCTTTTTTTTTGCCCTCACTTAGCTGGCTATCAACTTGATATTTTACATTTAGTAAGAGAAAATGGGGAATCTTGCATGTGTAATGTAAATGCAACAATAGTACCTTTCTTGTATTGGTTATGACATTCTGCATTAAATTTACAGTACTGAAGCATAGCGCGATACAAAAGCTGAGCATATTAGGTTCTAATCATGTACAGCTTTACTCATACTCTTCAAGTATTGCCCTAACAAATTCCTGGTCACTTGATTTATGGACTTTGGAGATGTGAACTGCCTGAAGTAGCACTGCGCGTCTGGGAAGTTGTCGTGCTGTTTTGTGTCTGGGAAGTCTGACTTGAAGATATATCTGAAAAGAAGTTTATAACATCAGGGCTTTCGCCAAGAACTCTCAATGACCTTGGAACAGGAGGCATGTTAACGTCAAGGAATCCCTCGAGGATTTGAACAATCTGACCAGTCGTAGGTCTAGCAGTTTCGTCATCTTGGATGCACCAACAGGCAACCTTACAAGCCCTTGTGAGTTCATCAACATTTGCATCTCCATTCAGCTTGGGGTCCAACAAGGTCCGCACATCTCCTTCATGAAGCTTGCTTGCAGCCAAGGTTGGGAAAAAGGTGGATCCATGCTGTTCTCCGTGACCAGCATTTCTCCTGCCTGATATGAGTTCGAAGAGCATCATGCCATAGCTAAAGACATCTGCCTTTGCTGTTATTGCCACACCACTGATCCATTCAGGTGCAAGGTAACCCCTTGTTCCTCTCATTGTTGTCAATACACGGCTGAAGTCTCTGCCTAAGAGCTTTGCTAGACCAAAATCAGCCACTTTAGGCACAAAGGACTCATCCAAGAGTATGTTTTCTGGCTTGACATCACAGTGTATAATGCAATCCCTACATTTTTCATGCAGGTAATTTAAGCCCCTTGCTGTTCCAAGTGCTATTTGGTACCTGGTAGCCCAGCTCAGTGCTGTTGTCTCACCAGAGAATAGCTGCAGGTCCAGGGAGCCCTTTGGCATGAACTCATACACAAGCAGCCTCCGCGATCCTTCTGAGCAAAATCCATGGAGGCGGACCAAATTAACATGCTGTATTGTGCCAATGGTGCTCACCTCAGCACGAAATTGCTTCTCCCCTTGCTGAACTCCATCGAGCCTCTTCACAGCAATGGCTGTTGAATCTGGGAGCTTCCCTTTGAACACTGAGCCAAAGGCACCTCCACCCAGCCTCTCCGAGAAGTTGTTAGTGACATGCTGCAGATCACTATACCTAAAGGCGATCATTGTGCCCCAGCAGTCTTGGATATCCTGAGAGTCCTTTCTCGGCGGTATTTCTGAAATAGGAAGTATGACACAATAGAAAGGGCTATTAAAACTGCAGCAACTCCACCAACAACTGCACCAATGATCACTGTCTTGCTCTTTTTGGAGTCTGGCAGCTCAGAAGCTGCAAGCCTGAGGAAGAGTGTGCCTCCTCCATTTCCGCTGTATTGATCCTGAAGGTTAATCAGATCCCCATGCCAAACAAAGCAGCCACTACTGTTATAAGTATATGCATTACAAGAGCAATTGTTCAGACAAGCCACTTGACAGTCTTGAGAGCTCGCCGCCACAGCAGTCTGAGCATTATCAGGTAGCCTCACACTTTCCATGGTATAGAACTTATCAGGCTGAGCCTGTGCAGAGCTTGAATTGGTCTGGCACTGCAGTGGTACTCTCCTTTTGCACCCGCCACTGTAATCCTGGAGGTCCCAATCACTCTGAACCTTCTGGCTGAACCCTCTGATGCAGTTGCAGAATGGCAGTGCATTGAGGTTGCAGCTACCATAGGCCCCACAAAGCGCGTACACCTCACACTGTGTCCTTGGCTGGGACCAGAACAAGATCCATGACTGGGAGGCAGCCACCCATGTCAGCTGCTTTATCTGCCCATCCACATCGATGATGAACCTCGAGATGATGTTGTTGTCCTTCATTGAGTAGATGAAGTAGCTCTCGGTGGCATTGTTGATGAACTGGAAGTCATAGTTGTAACCAGAGGTCATCTCTGGCACAAGGCTAAAGATGTTTCCATTCCATGGACCACTGGTCCAGTATGTTATGGAATCATTCCACTGAATGAAGTATTGCGTTGTGCCTCTTGGATCCAACTCCAGTGAGAACGGCCCAGGAAAGGGGTTGGCAGTGTTACTCCATGGAACAAGCCGCTGGCTCACACCAGTGGTCTTGTTCAGTCCAAGCTTGCCCCCAGGAAGCCAGGTGTTTGTGGGATGATCTATGCTTCGCCAGTAAACCATGGATGAATTGGTGGCATCTGTGAGGTCGAGGCTACCGCTGTCCTGGAGGACAGCGATGGTGGAATTGGAGCTAATACTTATGTTCGTCGACCACAGCTGCTGATTCTTGGATTGGAGGACGAGGTTGCCGTCGCTGCCGATGGTCAAGGCAGCAGTGGTTGGGTCAGCCACCGGCACATCGGGGTTGGCCATCCACACCGTCGTCTGCAGTGGTATGTTGCTGTACCATATGGCGATGTAGTAGTTGCTGGGATTGGAGGAGGTGGTGGTACCTTGGGGTGGGGTGTAGAAGCCCAAGGTGAACTTGTTGCCCTTGGACACAATCTTCTGCGCGCCGGACAAGGGTGTGGAGGAGTTGATGGTGTCGACGGCTGCACAGAGAAGGATCTGGCCGAGTAGGAGCGGTAGAAGGAAGAAGACAGGAGCCATGGATGGGAGCTCGGTGGAGCAGCCAGGGCTGGGACTCGGGGGAGAGGAGTTTGGACTTCTGGAGTAATTGGTTGCGGTGGTAGTTGGATACAGAGGTTTTGATAAACAGCAAGGCTCCACTTCATGGACTAATGACAAAAGGTGCCGTATTTGACCTGGTGCTATGCTTTTTGACAGGTACACTCCCAATGCCCTTCTGTTGTGGGGAATATAGATCGATTAACATAATTCCAATCTCGCTCTGAAAATGATACAAGAAGATGAATTCTAGGTAAGAAAGGTGTTCTTCGATTTTTTATGTCTGCTGAAAACTCGCCGGTCATTTTAATTGATTTTTGCAGCCTATTCAGCTGGTTTGTTGTGCAGTGGAACACGGCACACATTATTCTCATGATAGTATTTTTCTTGATTCATACCTGTGAACAGAAACGCTAGTATCTGTTATGTGATGCTGACCGTTGGTTGAAATTATTTTTTAGGAAAGAAAAGAGCAAATGGTGTAAAGGCAGAGGAGAACGTGTTGCTGATCTGTTGTGGCGGCTGGCGGCTAAAGAGCCAGAGCGCAGGGTTCACTTGGACTAGTTTAACAGGACGGTCGTTCGCGGCCAATCATTCAGGACTTCGTCATCGTGTCCTGCTAATACTTTGCTAAGGTCAGGTGTTCACTGCTGATTATTCAATCTTTGATCTGGTCACCTCCTTACTGTTGAACAATCTTGGTGTAAGGGTTTTCCTGCTTTCTCTGATGAGGTCTTCTAGAATGGCACGGTCGGACAAGCCCAAAGAACACGTTGAGTACCAGTACCAGGGCTTTGGCCTTTGGGTGCCTGTCTCTGTGCAATGCTAATGCTGTCATTTGTCACATGATACCGGTGTCGTTCATTGCCATCGATTAAGAGATGCTGTTTGTGAGACTGAGGCACTGGCGAATGTGTTACGTTCTAGTTTTTGGCCGTGGTCTGGGCTCTTTTGTCCTTCAACCGAGGAGATATTTTAGTGGTATATATATAGGAATACATGTACAGAGATGAGATGGTTTCGCGGGCCCAAACGAGTTTGGCGATTATTGACAGTCTGGTCGCAATTAACCCCTAGAATACCCTTAGGGCTCCTCCAGAGAACCACCGTCCACGTCACTCCCATTTCCGTCCTCCGTCCGATCTTCCAATCGACGGCCAAGATCTCATGAAGCCGGTTCCGCCGGGAGCGGCTTCTCAAACTTCTCGTGTGATTCTCCAGCTACTCCGCTGCATCTCCAGCTTCTCATCCGAATCCAGAGAAAGAAATATATATGCCGGCTTCTGCTTCTCTTCCCCACGCTTCTGCTTCTGGATCCTCATCCTCTTCTCTCTCCCTCTCCCTCTCTCCCGCGACGCAGGCGGCCGCGACGGCGCCGCCGCGCGCGCAGCGCAGCCCGCACCCCACCCCGCCGCCGCCGGGCGCACGGCGCACGGCACGGCGGCCACCCTCATTCTCCTCCACGCCCCTTCCTCCTCGCGCCGCAAGGGCGGGGTGACGGCGGCCCTCCTCGGGTGCTGCGCCGGTGCAGTGGCTCGCCGTCCCCGGCCGCGACGAGCCCCCACGGCGGCGGTCCTCGGGCACGACGCCGCGGGCGGGCCCTGCCGGTGCTCCCCAACGCGGCTGCCCCCTGATGCGGCATCGTCTCGCCAGGCGCCGCGTCTTCTTCTGTGCTCCATGAAACCCTAGGTGCATGTCTCTTCCTCTCTCTCCCTCTCCCTCGCCCTGCAGTGATTTTGGCTGATAGTTTCACTGAGTTACTGTCCGAATCCATCAATTGCATGCTATTCTGATCATCTGCAATTTAGACCCTATTCTAAGTTATAGGCAACACTGAATTTCTGTTAGTAAATACTAACCATGTACCAATTGGCACTGACTGTGTGTTTGCTTCATTGATTTGTGATATTGAGGTGCCTGATGTAAGGCGATAGTTGAAGTGTTAATGGATCCAGAGATCAGGCTCTACACGTAATCACATTTACAAGGAATTGCAATATGTTAATCGGCTTGCTCAAACGAGTTACAAATTACACGTCATGTGCTGCTGCTTGCTTCCTTACTATGAAAAGTAAAACAGGAAGTGTTCATAGCATTCTTAATTTCTTGCTCCACAAACCTGGTGTTACTACTTCACACTCTATTTATTGTGCCTTCAATTGAGCGCTTATGGTACTGATTCTAAAATTTCCAACCAACTTTGAGCTTGTATGTCTCTGAAACATTGTTTTATTAATTGCCAACTGATGCCATAACTGCAAACAGACATTTTTTACATCCATAGTAGTTCAAATGAATTCTCTAGAAGCCTAGAGAAAAAATAATCATTATTTTATGGTTGTTTATCATCTCTTAACACTCCCTTTGCAATCACAGATTTCAGCAGCTCGGTTTAGCTGCCCCTCTTGGTTTTCAGCTAGAGCCAAAAACCTGATTAGCAGAATTCTTAATCCCAATCGTACAGCTGTAGGTCTTTTAATTTATTTCCCTAATACTTTCTTTGTCCGGTCACTTCACCTAACAACAAGTGTACATGAAAGATAAGCTGCAGATTTGTTGAGATAATCTGTGGCGTAAGAGGAACCCGCAATTCCTCATAGTATTTTAAAAAAAAAAAAATCAAACATAGATAATGGCTGTATGAATCTTACATCTTGTACTGTTACTTTTTCTGCCATTTCAGATCGTGTGCTGTTCTTAATTATTTTTCAACCTATAAATTAAACATGCGTTCTTTGAGGACGAAACCTATATTATGTTTAATCTATATATATTTGCCTATCGTTCTTTGTTTTAATTTTGTAAGGTGGGAGCTGATAACTAGATGGATTTTCTTCCTCTATTGAACTGAAGGTATGGATCTACAGCCTATAAAGATAAATTTACAAATTATTATTGAACTCAAGGTATTGGCACCATTCCTTTCTTGCATCTCTTGTTGTTTTGTCTTTGCCTAATTTTCAAATATATATCAATACCACAACTGCTTCTTAGTGTGTTAGTGCTTGCAGTTATAGGCTTCTGAACAAAACTTGGAGTACCCTGCTATGGTGAGCTACTGCATTCACAACTCTTCCATTGACAGTCAAAAAATATAGTCCTTTCACATGGGTGCAGGCTAGGAAGACACGAATACGCAAATAAGGTAAATGCCATTTCCTTACTTCTTTCAGTTTCTAATTCATATACGACTTTAGAGAAAAAACATTAATACTCAGGGTTGACGGTCTGGTTGGCATGAAGAAAAAAAAGAAACTTGACAGCATTGCTCATGTACTGTCCAAACCTGAAATAGTTTTTTACATTGGCTATTTGGCTTCTTTGTTTTTTGCTAAGAAATCTGATATATCACATTAAGCAGTACATTGGTGAAAGAGCTACAAGCCTTGGGGTTCGGCCAAAAGACCGACACTTGCGTGAAAAAAATACTTACACCATCCGATCTAAGTTTATGATCAGTGTTCACCAACATTTCGTCCAGTCATTACGACTATGATGTTTTTGGGTCTGATTACTCTGAAATGATCGGTGTTGATCAACATTTCGTCCAGTCATTATGACTCTACGATGTTTCTGGGTATGACTACTCTGATTTTTCAATGAACTGAGCTCTCTTTCTATTTCTGAATGGAGTTGGCCATGTTGTTCCTTCTATTTCTATCTGATCATATTTGGTCTTAACACTAATTTTGAATAGTTATGCCACTATTTTGAATAAGATGCCCATTGTTAGTTATTGGCTTCCTGATTAGTCTAATCAGCATCAGCATAGACCCGGAAACATGGGTTCTGATTATTTTGATAGTTCCTCTTTTTTCTGCAAGATTTGTTGTTTCATAGTTCTCTCATATAATCCGTTTCACAGTCCTCATCATTACTAAGAATATGTTGCTCTTTGATATAAGTAGTAAGACCTAATGGTGAAAAATATCTTAAATGTACATATGCTGTAATCCAATGTTTCTTGACCTATGAAATTAATTCCCCAGCCATGTTACTTTAGCACAGTTGTTGCATAGTATAATGCTTCGGATCTATGGCTACTTCCTGCTGAAAGCACACCGATGACAGCTTTGGTGTTTGAATTCCCCGAGGGCATCTAGGCTTGGTCTGTGACTTGATTGCCGGCAGCCCCGGCACCTGCGCCGCCCGGCCGCGGTAGCTCCGGCGCGGCGGCACCTGCACGGGCGCACCCCGGCGCGGCTGACTGGGCAGGTCCCGGCGGTCACAACGGTTCCGCTGCTGCCTGCTGGCGGCTATCCCCTCACCCTCCGTGAAACCGTGGAGACAGACACGCGTGCACGCAGGGGATACAGGCAACCAAGGACCAGCGACCCAAATGCAGGCCGACCGCAAGGTATGGGAGCAACGCTCCGATCCAGGTCGACAGCAAGGTATGGGGTTTTCCCCTTTGGGCTATTTGTCATAGGTATTGTTTGTCGACGAAATAATCTAGCTACGAAATCTAATCTATCACATTAGTAGCAGTTCCTATCTTTCACAGTGCGCTAGGTGTGTTAAGACATGTGCTGCTACTTTGTTGGTTTTTGTAATACTAAATTCTGCAACATTGTTTTACGGTCCATCAAATGATATCTTCTAGCACAAAAGTTTTACAACCATGAACATTCCTCGCATTTAAATATCTTTTTCCTTTTGCTTTATAGGCACGTAGATTTATTGCGGTCCTCAAGGAGTTGTTGAGGGACGACAACCAGCTACGCCCAAAAAGATAAATGGTGAGACCGTACTGAACTCTGGCACTTCCATTGTGTGATTCAATTGTGCCCCTAATGCTCAAACGTGGTGTGGCAGGTTCTAATATTTTTGTAATTCAGTGTGCCATGCCGGAACAAAATTATGCGATAAGTTCTCGGATTTGTTCTAAAACTAGAGACAAATTGTAGTGCACAGTATCATGCCGAGGCTGGGTTTAGTTCTTCTCTAAGGAATACTCAGCCTCCAGCAATCGGCCTGTAGCT